CACATGTTCCCAGGAGTGACCAGTCCTTGTCGAAGGACATTATATGTGGTAACGTAGAAAAAGAGGGAGATTTTCAATGTGATGGATTGACACAGAGATTGAAATCGGCTTAAACATTGCAGGAGGATATTTCATTCTGTTGTACATAAGTTGCTATAAGTCAAAACCAGTGTGATATATCGAACAACAATCACCTTTGGAATAGTGCCTGGTTTTATTATAGAACAAAATCCATAGGATATCAATGGGCTAAAGAGGTGTTGCTAAAATAAAAAGGCGACTCCCCAAATCAAAACATACATCCAATTTTTGAAAGGAGACCCAAACTTCCAGGTAACCGTGAGAAAGCTTTATGAAGCAGATCTACAAACTTTGTAAAAATAAATGTCTCCTGATAGATAGAAAGAGATTCTTTTCTCAGAATACCACTGAGAGACTCATCTACCAGGAACTTTATGTGTGTAATGGAGGACATTGAACCAACTTGCAGGATTTTGCAAGGACTAGATTACTTTTGTGCGTCTATCCAATGTGGCATGGAGGCTCCAGGTGTTGCTGCGAACCAAGAGGTCAACAGCACGACTCGCCAACCTCTAAGCGGGGAAAGGTTGTGGCACTTGGCTTCCCTCTGAATCACGGCCTCCGTGTCCTTTGGTTGCTGTGCATCACAGTTGACTCAATGGAACACAAGAATGACAAATACACCAAAGTGTGTAGCTCAATGTCTGATAGAGGTGCCCAGTAAATAACAGTACATCATCCTCATCATCACCACCACCACCATCATCATCATCTAGAGAAAGACTAGGTGTGAAGGGGAGGTGGCAGAGTAACACCGTCTGACTGGGAAAAGAAATAGTAAAGCAATGCTTTTGGCTGATAAAACATTACTTGCCTTTGAGGTATAGGACATGCCTTGAGTTTCTTTATATCCACTAATAAGCCATCATAGATCTGTGGAATTAATGTTAGTTGGTTTTTATTTTAGATTATATTATAATAAGGAATACACTATCTGATTTGTAGTGTAGCTAAAAATTACTGTATCTGAGCTGTTCCAATCTCAGGTAAGGACTAAATACACTGTTTCGTCCTCAGAGGAGCCTGGTTTGGTGTTGGGACCCACACGCTGTGAGATGTTAGCTATGAACCTGACTTCTTAGTCTTAGGTTGACATTTTACCTTTTATATTTTGTTGCTGCATCCCCTCCGCCCCCTGATGACCCTGAGAGTCCAAGGATTGAATGTTCCTCCTTTATTAAAAATCTTAAAATTGTGTAAAGTTATAAATGCATTACATATCTGCTCTTTGACAATTTTCTTTGGAGATAAGGATAAATTAATGATGTTTATTTCTATCCTGCTGGGAAGTTGGACTCCATTTTACCAAGCAGTGGTGTGTAAAACTAAATCTTTCCATTGCATAACTGAGGTGAACTTTATACAAACACCTTTTATTTTCTCTGGTCTAACTAATGACCATTTTTCAGAGATATTTTCTATGATCAATCTCTGCTTAACAAGGTGCTTATTTTCGCATACAGTAGCTACTTGCATAGAATAGCACCCTCCCCATATGTACAGTAAGAGTGGAACCAGGAGAATTTGGATAACAACACAGAGAGAGATTCACCACCTTTCTACCAAAAGGTCTGGTTTTAACTCTTACAGAAGAAGGTGGCTGGGAGCAGCAATAGGCTTATGTGCCTCGATTTCAGTCTTAGTGCATGTCAGGGTACTTCCATTGATTTGTGAGAAGGATGGAGGATTTGTCGAACCCAACAATAATGAAGAGAACCCTTTGCTGTTTCTGAGCATTGGCAAACCTTTGCATGCAGAATAGCACCATGCTCCATGGATTTGTACAGATGTAATTTTATAGACGTGCATTAATAAAGCTTTTTTTGGGAAGGCCTGAGCCATTAACCTTTCGTTGGTAGTTGAGTGCTTTCAAATGTTTGTACTAACCAAGGACTCAAGTAATGAATCAATCCAAACCAAACTCACTGCCATCCAGCTGATCCAACTCATCGAGCCCCTATAAAACAGGGCAGGACAGTTCCTGTGAGTTTCTGAAGGCGTAACTCTTTACCAGATGTGAAAACTCAGTCTACCTCCCTCGCAGCATCTGGTGGTATTGAACTGCTGATCTTATACCTAGCACCCCAGTGTGTAACCACTGTGATCCTGGAGTAAAGAAGGGATGGAGTAATAATAAAAGAAGAGTTTCAGAATTTTTGATTTGCTGGCTAACTTGATTCAACGTGCCACCATCAAGTTGATTCTGACCCTGGAGGACATTAAAGAACTGTCCTTATGGGTTTTTAAGACTGTAATTTTTTGTTTGAGTAGAAGGTCTTGGTTTCTGTCTGTTGGAGAGAAATGGTTCAATTCAAGGCAACGTTGATTTTAGCAGCTGCAGTTCTTGCAACAGTCAGAAAAAGAGAGGGGGAGGGGGAGCTACCTAAGTATGAAATTTTACAACAGAGGACCAATTTCTTTTCTTTTTTTTTTTCTTTTTTGACATTTTATTAGGGGCTCATACAACTGTTATCCCAATCCATACACACATCAATTG